GAGCCTTTGAGGTAGCCGGAGTACTGGCGGAAAGAAGGCTGCTTGGCCAGCCCGGGCAGGAAGCGGATCTCGTCCTGGTCGGGGGCCGCCTCGCCCCCGGGCGCGCAGGCGAGCAGCAGCAGCTGCAGCAGGAGGAGGACCGGCGGCCACAGCGCGGCTCGGAACATCTGCGGCAGGAAGCGGGTGCCGGCTGTTGCCTCGCCCGCTCGCTGCTCGGCCGCCCCTGGCGGGGAGCTGGCGGCGCACCCTCCAGGGAAGCCCCTTCCCTGCCCCAGCTCCCACCCGCCGTGCCTCCTCCGTCGCGTCCCGCCCGGGGCGCTCCGGGATCCCTTCCAGCCCCGGGATCCCTCTCACCTCCGCTCCCTCGCGTCTTTGCTCTTCTGGAGGGGCCAGCCCGGCGACGGGAAGTCATGTGTACTGCGAGTCACGTGTGCCCAAGCGTCACGTGACGGGCCGCCTCCTGCCCACTTCTGGCCTCTAGGGACCTGGGGGGGGGGGGGGGGGGGGGGGGGGGGGGGGGGCAGGACGAGGGCGGCGGAGGTTCTACCCGGGCGAAGGTCAGCTGGTTCAGGCAGGTCTCATCCCGGGCGCCGGCGGTCAGATGACCCAAGCTTGGACGGCCGGGAACCCCGAGCATCCCGGGACCCGCTTCGAGGCGGGATGGCCAAGCCAGCGGCGCTAGGACCCCTGGGCAGAGCCTCGGGGAAGGGAGTCGGCGGGGGGCAATACCTTACATGGTGCACCTGCCCCCTCCCGCGCTCACCATCTGAGTCCGCTGCCCAAAATAGCCCCCGGCGCCCGCCGGTCTGTCCCACGGCCCGGAGATGGCTGCTGTCTCCGACCCCGTGGGGCTGGGTGCGCCGTGGGGACCGGCGCGCCCCGAGCCCCCTCCCACCCGCTTCCACCCAGTGCACGGTGCCAACATCCGCGTGGACCTCTCCGGGACGCGGGCCACACGCGTGGAGAGCTTCGCCCACGGCGTGTGCTTCAGTCGCGAGCCGCTGGCCCCCGGCCAGGTATTCCTGGTTGAGATCGAGGAGAAAGAGCTGGGCTGGTGCGGGCACCTGCGCCTCGGCCTGACCGCGCTGGACCCCGCCAGTCTGGCCGCCGTACCCGAGTTTTCGCTACCCGACCTGGTCAGCCTCGGGCACACCTGGGTCTTCGCCATCACGCGCCATCACAACCGCGTGCCCCGGGAGGGCCGCCCAGAGGCAGAGGCCCTGGCCCCCAGTCGTCCCCCAGCCCTCCTCGTGGAACCGTATCTCTGCATCGAGCAGTTTCGCATTCCCCGCGACCGCCTGGTCGGCCGCAGCCGGCCGGGTTTGTACAGCCACCTCTTGGATCAGCTCTGTGAGCTGAATGTGCTGCCTCCGACCGCGCGCCGCAGCCGCCTGGGCGTTCTCTTCTGCCCGCGCCCGGACGGCACGGCTGACATGCATATCGTCATCAACGGCGAGGACATGGGCCCCAGCGCTCGGGGGCTGCCAGCCGCCCAGCCCCTCTACGCGGTGGTGGACGTCTTCGCCTCCACCAAGAGCGTGCGCTTGGTACAACTGGAGTATGGCTGTAGGTATCCCACCCCCTGGGCAGCGACCCCTCCTGGCCCCCAGAGGGGACAGGAACCTGCTAGGACTTCTGAACCAGCTGGCAAGGCCTTGGTCTGTCCAGCGTTGCTTTAGAAGTTGGGGAACCTGGGACTTCCCTGGTGGACCAGTGGCTAGGACTCTGTGCGCCCAATGCAGGGGCCTGGGGTCCCATCCCTGGTCAGGGACCTGGATCCCACATGCCACAGCTAGGAGTTTGCATGCTGCAACTAAGAGCTGGCACAGCCAAATAAATACATAAATATTAAAAAAAAAAAAAAAAAGGTGGAGGGGTGAGTCTGACTTCAGATTCTGCCTCTGCCTGTGGCCTTGGACAAGTCAGTTCCCTTGGCTTTGGGCCTCGATTTATCCACCTTGGCTGTGATCGATTAGGATGTCCTCTAAATCCCCTTCTGACTTTGCCAATATTTTCTGTATTAACCTAGGGCATGAATTCGAAACCAATTTTAGATTTTGGTCCTCTGAGAATTATGTGTATTAGACAAATACTCATCGATTTGAGTGTACAGAGTTTAAAGGCATCACCTCTAAACCCCAGGTGAGAGCTTCTGAATCCTGAGGTCTGGTTCATGATAGCACCATTAAGCCCTTTATTTATACATCTGAGCTTGCATGCGGGCTCAGTCACTCAGTCGCCTCTGACTCTTTGCGACCCTATGGACCACAGCCCACCAGGCTTCTCTGTCCATGGGATTTTCCAGGCAAGAATACTGGAGTGGGTTGCCATGCCCTCCTCCAGGGGGTCTTCCTGACCCAGAGATCGAACCCACAGATGCTGCAGCTCCTGTGTTGGCAAGTGGATTCTTTACCACTGAACCGCCTGGGAAGCCATACATCTGAATTCACATTTTATGAATTTAGTAGGCGAGAACCCTCTCTGTGCCAGGTCTGTGCTGGAGGCTGGGGTTGCCCAGGTTTATCAGATGCTACCCCTGCCCTCAGAAGCTGCTAAGGGAGGGGAAGGAAGCAGGGTGATGCTATCAAGGAGACAGAGCTGTTGGGAAAGTGCTGCACAAGAGGTGCTTATCTCAATCACGTAAACGGCCCGGAGCCAGCCTGGGCCTGAGAGTGAAGGGACCAAGACCTAGGTCTGGGTCTCGGCACCCCCACCCCCCACCGTTGCTTTTGCCTTAGACAGCCTTCTCTCCACAGTGCCGTCCCTGCAGACCCTGTGCCGCCTGGTGATCCAGAGGAGCGTGGTGCACCGGTTGGCCATTGATGGGCTCCATCTGCCCAAAGGACTTAAGGATTTCTGCAAGTATGAGTGAAGGCCTGCACCGCCCTGGAGCAGGGCCATGAGAGTGCATCCTGGCCCCAGAGGCATGCCTGCCCTGAAGTTGGCCACGCTGTTGCCAGCCAGGATGGAAATAAACACAGCCGATGTTGCCACCGATCCTTGGAGGGTCTCCTTGCCCCTGAAGTCTGTGAGGGGCATTTCTTTTAGAATCACTGGGGGTCAGCAGGGCAGGTGAGAGAAAGGGAGCATTTTGACATCACCTAGACCTGTGACTCCTAGCCTGACTACTCGTGATCTAAGACAGACTGCCAGCGCTCTGGGCCCTGATACCAGAGATTCTCATTTGATTTGTCAAAGGACATTGTTTTTGCAAAAGTGCCCCTCGAGATACTAAGGAATAGCCAGGGTTGAGAAGCATTTCCCTCAAGCAGAGGTCTCAACTTTGGCACATGGTGTAACCACTTGAGAAACTTTGAAAAATACTGCTAACTGGGTCTCACCCTGGGATTCTGATTTAGTTAACCCTGGGATAAGGCTGAGCATCAAGATTTCTAAAAGCTTCCAAGAGAATCTAACGTGCAGCCTGGGGTGAGAACCAATGCCCTAGACCAACTACATCATTTCGCAGATGGAAAGTGGAAGCCCAGAGATGGGAATGTGTTTGTCCAAGGACACACAGCAAATGAATGAATACAGGGTGTTTCCTCTGCACACACTGCAGGGCACAAAGCACCCGATTCCTTTATTTGTATCTCTGATCACTTCTTTCATACAGATGATCTCATTTGATCCTTCATAACTTCTGGTGAAGTAGTGGGCAGTCATTTCCCCATCTTACAGATAAAGATGTCGAGGAACAGAACTGTCCAGGTGACTTGTCCAAGGTAAAGGCAAGAACCTAGAATGCCCAGTTCCTGGTCCAGCACTCTTTCAGCACCATCCATTGTCATACACAGGTTCTAGAATGAACAGGTCAATCCTGTGAGGTGGGTTCCAGGTGTAAAAGGGAAGGACTATGAGGTGACATTCTAGAAGGGTGGAGAAGGTAGGACAGGAGGCAGATGACTGTTCCCTCACAAATAAGGGCTTTGGGGCAGCCATGTCCTATTTCATGTCTCCACAGACTCAGCCAGGTCTTCCGTCTTCTGGCCAAGGTGAGGGGGCCCGTGAACTGGAGGGTGTACAAGTTCCTGAGAACCTGAGTCCTGGCTCTGGGGAGGTGGCGGTTCTGCTGGGCATTGTTGGGCTTGCCCTGGAGTCAGTTCTCTTTGAAGAAAGCCATTCCCAAAGTCCTTGCCAAGAGCCACCCACTTGTTCATTCATTCATTCAACAAACATGGCTCCATCACCTACCTGCATTAGGGACTGATTTGGGGTGTGGATATGAGCAAAACCCAGTTCCCAACCACCAGACCGCCCTCTTGGGCTGGTCTTAATTGCTCCCGATCCCAGGGCTCTGCTCCTGTGCCCTGCCCCTCAGGGCCTCCTCCTTCAAGACCAAGAATAACACTCCATCCCATTCCTGTCTCTGCAGGTGGGGCCGCTTCTCCGGGCTCATCTCTCGGCCTCGATAGTCTTATAGAGCCAGGGGTGGTGGCCTCTGGCGGACAAGGCCCACTGAGCCAGAAAGCTGAGCAGGTGACACCTGTTGCCCAGGCCTGGGGCCCGGCCCCTGGGGGCGCTGGCTGGGAGCCACCGAGGCAGGAGTACAACTGGTACTGCCACAAATTCCCCGCCGCGAGGCAGCCGGAGAGCCTGGGCCGGGAGGATGGCTACTCCAGAAGCAGAGCCCCTCAGCTGGGCGGCCCCAGCATGCCTGCGCCCCTGCTGCTGTGTGGGCTTACACCTGGGGCTCCGCCGATGCCTGTCGAAGTAGGGGGGAAGGAGGCCAGCTCCCAGCCCGACATCTGCATCCTGACCTTGGCCATGATGATCGCTGGCATCCCCACTGTGCCCGTCCCGGGCCTGCGGGAGGAGGACCTGATCCGGGCAGCTCAAGCTTTCATGATGGCCCATCTGGAGCCGGAGGGGGCTGTGGAGAGGGCCCAGTGGGCACAGGCGCAGGCCCACAAAGCCTCTGGGCCAATGGCCTTAGCAAGATCCCGGAGGGGCCAGCCTCCTGGCTCCTACTTGTAGCTGGATGAAATAGCACCAGACTCATAGGGTGGCTTCTCCGTATGGTTTTTGGGCAGGCAGGGGTGGTGGTGCCTATGGCAGGGACTGGAATAAGGTGGTGGTCTGAGCCACTCTGACAAACACCGGCCCATTCAGGGCCCAGACCCCAGGAAGTTCCCAGAAACCATTAAGCTGGGAGATGGGTCTTTGGTCAGAGTAGTTACAATGAGAATTACCGAGGTAGGCGGCCCTGCTTGGAGAGTGGAAGCTTCTTTCGTACCATTTTGGTACTCCCATCAGAATTCTTGCGCAAAGCCCTAGGCAACGTGCACTTTTCTCCTGCCTTTTGTTTCTCACTCTGCTGAGGGCAGGTGATGAGACCACAGACAAGGAAGGAACACTGACTCTTATTAACACTAACTCTGAGCACCCACTGGGCGTCAGCCCATCACATGCCCAGTCTCCTCTCATCCTACCAGTGCTCCGGGAAAGCTCCATTTTTACAGGTGAATGAATTGAGGCTTGCCTCAAGTCCCAGAGCAAGTAAAAGGCAGCACCCGGCCTCAGAAAGCAGACAGGGAAGAAACCAGGGTTTGCAATGTAATGTCAGACTATAAAATCTGGTCGTTCTATAGTATTGGGGTGGCCAAAAAGGTCGTTCGGGTTTTTCCTAACATCTTACAGAAAAACCCAAACATTTTGGCGAACCCAGTTATCTCCTAAACTTCCTTCTACGAGACAAAAAACTGGACAAGTGCTAAAACAGACAGCATTCACTTTAATGACCTCAGGATCGGGGGGCGTGGCGGGTGGTGAGGCTGACAGCCTGGCTCTCAGCCTCTGGGGGGCCTTCTCCTCTGTGGGTAGGGTGTCACCTCATGACTGTGGAAGCTCTTACCAAGTCCCAGTCTTGATCTTCACTGTCTTATCTCTTATCCTAGAGCAGGTATTACCTGTGAAGGCCCTTGAGCTAAGAACGGGTTTTACTTTTTGAAAAGGTTGTTAGGGGGAAAAAAACAACAAAAACAACCCACACAGCAAAGACAAAGAACCAGGAACATACAGCAGGCTGTAAGCGCCCAGCAAAGTCCAGGATACTGACTATCGGGCCCTTTACGGGACAGCTTTGCTGCCTCCTGTTTTAGGAATCTAGACACGTTGTGGGTAGCAGGCTGCAGAAGAGAAGACCCTCGTGCTTCTTCTCTGGAAGGAGGGTCCGAGGAAGGACAGCAGTGTGAGTGTTGGGGGGAGGGTGTGGGAGGGGGATGTGAGTGATACAGAAGGATGAGCACCACAGGTAATCAGAGTTGGACCTGCTCATAAGGGCCGATCCAGCTGTCGGCCAGCTCCCGCAGGGTGCTGTACCGCCGTTCAAACTCCTCCTGGCTGCAATGCAGCAGGAGCTGACTCACCTCCTCCGTGAGGAGAGCTACAGCCAAGCGCTTCTCCAGGGTCTCGCTCCACATGCTGCCCAGGATGTCACCGAGATTGGGGGCACAGCCTGCTGTCCACTCAGCAGGCAGCATGTCGGGCTGGAGCTCCTGGCGGTGGGCGCTGAGCATGGCCAGGATGTGGCGGCAGGGCAGGCGGAAGGCCTGGTTGAAGTAGCAGCTGCAGCTGGCCGGGGGCTGGGGCTGCACCCTGTGGGTGTCCTCCAGGATCTGTATGTTCACCTTTTCGGAACCCGAGCCAATGAGGTGCATGGATTTCTGGACCACAGCAAGCTCGCCCAGGCAGAGCTGGGCGGCCGGCCCCGTGCAGATGGCATTAAGTGATTGCTGGATGCGGGCTTCCACCAACTGCTCCACTTTGGGGCTTTCGGGACTGCCCTCCAAGGGGGTGTAACGGTTCGGGGGACTCAGGCCCAGGTTGAAACTCACCTTGTCTCCCGAGTTCTGCCGAAGGTACCGGAGCAGGGCGCTCATGCCTTTTTCCACCACTGGGGTGGTTCCAAAGAACTGGCTGAGGAGGCGAGTGGTGACCTCCAGGCCCTGAAAATAGCGGCTGCTCTCGGCTCGGCTCCTCCAGCGGTGGGCCAACCAGATGCGGTCATTGAGCAGCCAGTGTGAGTGGAGCGCGGGCAGCTGGGCCGGTGGGATGCAGGTGCTCAGCAGTGTGTACAGCTTCTGCAGGTTCCCGGCCGTGGCTGAGCACATGGTGCTCCGCAGGGCGGTCAGGAGCAGCCTCTCCACCGGCTGCTCCAGGGCCAGTTGACAGAACTTGCCCTGGAGGAACTTACAGATGTGGAAGGCCGAGAGCAGGACCTCAGCTGCGGGGAACTCCATAGCAAGGGTGGGCAGCAGGAGGAAGTAGGGATCCACGAGAATGGTACAGACTCTCTCCCATGCTGGGTTAAACTTCTTGAACACCTGGCACATCTGGGCCAAGGCTTCGGCATCCTCCTTGGCAAGAATGGCGAAGTAGACTGCCCGGGAAAGATGACCCTCCAGCGGCACCCGGGGTCCATCCACCAGGAAGGTGTATAACACCTCGCCCCTCGGGTTATAGGTCCGGTGGATAAATAAGATCTCGGGAAAATGGGTAAAGACCCTCTGCATAAAGCAGCTCTGATAGTTGAGGGTCTCTAACTGGGCAGTCTTGTTAACCTGGTAGAACAGCAGAGGTGGGCTTGGGTCCTCAATCAGGAGCTCATTCAGCACTGTCAGCGCCATGGGGGAGATGGGAAATGTCTCAATGCCAAGGTCAAAATACTTGCTCTGTGCAGCTGCCAAACAGAGGGCTCCCACTCTCTAAAGCTCCAACTAAGTCAAGGCTTGAGGCTGGGCTGTAGACCCCAGATCTTAATCCAAAGATGGGCCTATGGAGAAGAAAAGAGATATAAGAAGACAGTAGGGGCTTGGCTCTTCAATTATTCATCCAGACAATATTTTATTCCTTAACTATGTATCAGCACTGTTCTGGGGATATGCAATAAACATGTAAACAAACAAGGATGTATCAGATAATGAAATTTACAAAGACCCTAAAATGGGGTAAGGGTAGGCTGGAGGAGGGAGGGATGCCTTAGCCAAGGCAGCCAAGGAAGCTGTCTCTGGGTGGTGGGAGGATGACTTGGAGCTGAGACATAACTGGTAAGAAGTCAGCATGGAAGGATTTGGTGCCAGAGATTTAAGTGAGTGTCAAGGGCGGAGCTGCCTTTTTTCTCCTTAAATATTTAAAACATTTGTACAGCACTTTGTATTTACTTCTTGGCCTCCATTCTTTCATTGGTCCTGGTATATACATGAGAACTGCAACTGCCCCAGACTTACTGTGTGATCTTGGGCAAGCCAGTGATTCCCTCTTAGCCTCAATCCCTTCAACCGAAAACGGGGTTAACAAGTGTTCATAAGTCTTTCCTCCCTCTACGTAAATCCCTCTATTAACTGCAATACTTTGTTCAAATGTTTCCTCTATTTAGCCCCTCAACCCGGGTTACTGTCCCCATTTTACAGATGAGAAACTGAGGCTCAAAGAAGTTAAGTGACTTGCCTACCGTCATTCAGTAAGTGGCTGGAAGCTGAGTCTTTGGCTCGGGATTCTGACTGCTTGCCACAGTAAAAAACCAGAGACAGAGAGGGGATGCGGCCTCTGACCTCTCACCTCTAACCCAGGTGGCAGGATGTGGATGTCTGATGTTCGCATTCGGGGTCTGGCCAGAGCCAGAAGAGAAGTCAACCTCCACCCTTTTGGGGGCTGTGTCATGGTGACTGCGGTCACCAGCTGCCTCACACCTCCACCCCTGAAGGAATTACTCACCCACAGCTTGGCTCGGTCGCCATTTCTCCCTATTTGACCCTGCCTCTGACTCTGACTGACCTCTAGGCTCACCAACCGCGGCGCCAGCTTCCCGTGACTCGGGCCAATGGCCTGAAGAATTCGCTTTCGGACTTTGTGGCAACGACCAATCATAGCCCAGCGATTTGTGGGCGGGCGCTGTTACCAGGGTTACGAGGGGCTCGGCTGGCGGCAACCAATGTAAGCCTGAAGACACCAGCATCCTTTGGAGTCTGAGCCCTGGAGCTGAAGCTGCAGAACCACACGTCTGGGAAGAGGGCTGGAGGGGCGGGTTACTATGGAAACTCCCACAGAGGCCAACAAGCAAAAAGAAAATAAATAGCAGTGTTTCAAGATTTTTTTTTTTTTTCTTTTCTGGTCAAATTCCAAAGCCCCAGGAGGGTAGGAAGTGGTGCCTGTGTGATTGTACTGTGTCTTCTGTCTTACCGGGAAGCTGAGGCCCGGGTCTCAAATTTTGCTTCTCCAACAAGGGTCGAGGGGCCCAACTCTCGGAATTGAGGAGATCGAGATCTTCTTGAGAGAGCTGAACTTGGGTGTTGCTCAGCCCAACCCCTCCAGTATTTTACAGGCAAGATCCAGAATAGTGTTGTGACTGTTAAGATCACAGCGAACTACTGCAAGAAGCAGGATTGACTACCATCTTTTGACCCTCGGTTCCATTGAAGATGGTTCTTGGAAAACTGGGAAGCTACCAGGCTTTAGGTGACTAAGATTACAAACTAGCAACAACAACAAAAGTCTGTGTTGGTGCTTAAACCTCCACTGAATCTAGAAGGGAAACTGGAATTAGAACAGGCCAACAGATTAGTTTTTGCAGATGAGGAAACTGGGGTCAAAGAAATTAAAGACTTGCCCACAGTCCCCCAGCAAGTTGAGGGCAATCAAGTCTTGGACCCAGGTTTCTTCCCTCCCAATCTATTTGGCTTCTTTGGGCTAGAATATGAGGCAGCCTGAAGTCCATGTTGAAGACTTGGTTGCAGGAAGAGGATGAAGCAAGGGGTGGATCGCTCATCATTGAATTTGAGACATCGGACTCTATTTGGCTGCACAACCCCCATCAGATTCCTTCCCTGTTCAGGCAGAACACATTTCTCTTGCTTATTTGCTTTTATTTAAAGAACAGAAACAAAACAAAACTTTAATATGAATAAAAATAGGTACAAATAAATTCTTTGTAAAGAGCAGCAACAGCCAAGTAGCACCCTCCTTCCCTTTAGTCCCTGAAACCAGGTCCGTTTTATCTCCCCCTATCCTGGGGCTGGGTTTCATCTCTGTAAAGTGAATAAGATCTGATCTCAGGGGTTGAGGGAGAAAGAGGAATGACCTTTCTGCATGGAGATAACTTTGGCCTTGAACAATGAATGAGGCTCCCAAGGAAAACCAAAGCCAGGGCAGAAATGGGGCAGATTCAAAGGACTGTCACACAGTAGGGTTCCTCTTCTTCCTTTTGTAACCATTTTCCTAACCCTACCTAGAAAGACGTTGGTTAAAACGCTGATCCCGAGCATGTCCTGCCTGCTTTGAGCTCTCAGACTGCTAGGGAGAGGGGCTGGCGGCCTAGTGTGCCAGGGCAAGTGCTTCAACCGTGGATGGTGGTGGCAGCGGGATCCAGCCCCTCCCCTTCCTCCTGCTTTCCCCAGAGGAAAGGGAGGCGGCCCACATCCCTGAGGTCCCCCGGCTGGTGACTGGGCTCAGGAGGTTGGCGGGGGGCCGCCCAGATGTCCACGATCTTGCGCAGCGTGGAGCAGCGCTCCTCCAGCTCTGGTCCCTCACTCTGCATCAGCAGGTTTGCGAGTTCCCTGCTTAGGTCCTGAATCATGTCGTTCCGTCCTGGCTCCCCTGGCTGGCCTGCGTCCTCCGGGATCAGAATGGGGTCCCGGAGCTCCCCGCTGGGCCCGAGGAGGTGCTGGTACCTCTTCTGCCACCGGCGGCACACCATGGCTTCACTCACCGGCCTCTGGCTGGTGTGTAGCAGCGCCAGGATGTGCCGGCACGGCAGGTGGTACCGCTGCTGGAAGGAGCAGCTGCAGCTGCGGCCGTCTTTGCTCACCTGGTGGGAGTCCTCGAGCAGCTGCACATCCACGGCGTAGCCGGCCACGTCCACCAGGTGCGTGGAGCTCTGCACCACCACCCACTCGTTGTGGCACAGCTTGTAGGCCAGGTCAGAGCTGCTCTGGCGTAAGGAAGCCAGCATGCCGCCCTGCGAGGGCTGCCCCGGGGGAGGCTGCCGCGGTGGCCCCTGCACCTGCTCTGGCTTGGCCTCCTGCACGGGGGGCCTGCTGAGGCTCCCTCTGCAGACGCCGGAAGGCTTCTTGGACTTGGGGGCCGTGCTTGCTGACCGGGCTCTCTTTAACTTGGGGGGAGCGGTGGGCAAGTTCTTCACGCCTTTGGTGTTAAAGAAGTCTATGTAATCCATGAAGCGGAGGATGCAGTCCAGCAGGGACTGCTGCTCCCGGAAGAGGCTCGACACCTTGCTGGTGACGATGTCCAGGCTGTCCATGTAGGTGCTGCAGGCGTGCAGGCCCTTCCTGACGTGCATGTACCACAGCAGTTCACAGGAGAACCAGTGGGCCTGCAGGAAGCTGAAGAGCTGCTCATCGAGCAGGGCCCGAGACATTTGGCAGAGATTTTGCAGGCTGGTCTCGGAGGTGACAAACACGGCCTCCCGCAGGGCTTCCTTCATGAGCCGTTTAAAGGATGGATCTGCGGAACTACGATGCAGCTTCTTCTCCAAGAGCCGGGTCGTGTGATAGATGGAGAGGAGGGTGCGGGCACCAGGGAAGACCTCCTGTAGGACGGCTCGGTGAGGGAAGGATGGGTCCACGAAGACCACCTTGACCTTGGGCCAATCTGAGTTGAACTCTGTAAAGATGCTCAGCATCTTGGCCACGGAGGTGGCTGTCTCGGCCTTGAGCACCGCAAAGTGCACCACCCGCCCCTCTCGTTCCTTGCTCTCCACCAGGAAAGCATAGAGGATGTGGCCCTGGACGTTCTCCACCCGGTGCAGCAAGAGATTCTCTGGGAAGCGGACAAACAGATCACTCATCTTGCTGCTCTGGAAGCTGAGCCGGTCCAGGTCTTGGCTGCTGCCCACGCTGAAGGAGGCCATGGAACCCACATCCACCTTAAGAAAGTTCTTCATCACTTTGGCTATCTTGGTCAGGTCAGAAGGAGTGATGCCCTCCTTCTCTGGCTTGGTGGGTATTTGGACCTCGTCTAAGCAAAACGATGGTTCACTCGGGGACTTCGCAGCTGTGCCGAGGTCTTTGTTGATCGCGGGCTGTGCAGACTGGAGTTTCTTCTGAGATTTGCCAGGGGCATCTCCTCTAGGACCCATGGCTTTGGAGTCAATGTGTATATGCTGTGTGTTGAGTTCACTGACAACTAGTCTATCCAGTTTCTCATTATACCGCAGGAGCAAGTATGCCGGGCACATGTCTGCCTCTGTTGCTCTCTTCCTGTTTGACTGGGTCCGAATACAGACAAATTTCACCTGCACATATCTAGGGAAGGCAGAAATAACAATGAAACAGGTGCTGACCACCCATTTTTCTCTTACAAGTCAAGGCCCTGTAGGGACTCACAGTGCCTGATACATTTCCTGGAGACCACAGTGTGGTATAGGATATGGGAGAGAGAGATTTACGTTCACTCTCCAGTCCCAAAGTATTCAAGTCTTTCTTCAAGACCCCATCCAATTAAAACACCCTTCATTTGCATCTACATAAATTCTAAGCTCCAACTCCTTTTATTTACTCTCATTTTCCCATCTGTAGTTGTCAATCTGAGGCAACCATACAAGGGGAAATAGATAAGCCGCAACAGCAGAACTGGTTACCTGCTGTCTAAAGTGTCCTTTCATTCCTGCCTTCAGGGAGCCATTGCTTTCTCTGCCTTCTCCTCCAGGCAGCAAAAATAAAAGAAGTCTCCGGTTAGGGTGAATCTGGGCTTCCTCTCTAAGAGGAAAGATCTGGGTTCGTCTTTGACTTAAAGAAAAACATCTACATCCTGAGAGTGAGAACCCTGAGGCTAGATAATCCCTGGGATTCTGGAGCTTTGCTGTTCTAGGCTGAACGTGCCTACTCAAAGGAGAACAGTAATTAAACTGAATATCTGTTCTCTCCCCGCTTTCTATCTTCGAGGCCCAAATCAGGTCCTACCTTCTCCAGGAAACCTTTATGGATGCCCTAGAGCCACAGAAATTGCTCCTTACTTAAGATTCATAGAATTTATTTGAAACAAAAGGCTTAGTAGATTTTCTGGGTAGCAGTAGTGGTTACACAGTGGGGAGGCTGGAGGCTGACTCTCTGGATTTGAATACAGGCTCTACCACTCAGAAGCTGTTTGACCTTGGGCAACTTACTTCACCTCTCTGTAAGCAGTTTCCTTAACATCATAAAATAAAACTAAATGGGGTTGTTACAAGATTTAAATAAGTCACAGACATAATATTTAGCCCGGGGCCTGGCTCAGCCTTTTATTTATTCTAAATAGGAGTCATCTACTGTTATTACAGCTCCTAAGCCTTGTGACCTATTCTTGGGCATTTATGCAGTACTTTTCCAATTGGATGGGGCTGTTTTCAAGTGGCAAGAGTAAATCAATCCTCAGCATATTCTAAGCACCTAGCACAAATGCTATTCTTTCAGCAGATGCTTGTCAAAGATGGGCTGGCTGAGTGACTCAGGAACCACAGGTGGGTGAGACAGGTCACACCCCTGCCTCTTCAGAGAGGTCCCAACCCAAAGATTAGTGGAGAGGAAAAAAAAAATCTCAGCCCCTGGCATGACATGACACAACCTTGGTATCTCAACAACCCTTCTCAAACACTCTAATCCAGCTGGACCTGTTTGCTCACCCTGTGGGGGCAAGCTTAAAGAAACAGGATGTCTGGCCTGAAATAACACAGCGGAGGGGCCTGAGGCTGAAAATGCCTGCACCTGCTGTGTGCACTGCAGGGGACAGCCATGTCATCCCTGGCTCAGGGAGCAGCCGGGTGGTATGGCAAGGCCAGCAAGGTATGACCACGGGACAGCCTCCTTCTGACTCTCCCACCTGTTTTCCACTGCCCCCACCACACCTTGTTTTATTGTACCCTAGAAAGACCAACTGCTCCCCGGCTTCCCTATACTGTGTCTCATCTCTGTGCCTTTGCTCGTGTTGTCTCTCTGTCTGGAATGCCCTACCCACCTGTCCTCATCTCAGAGCTTACTCATCCTCAGGACTATGTGCAACTACCTTCTTTCCTAGGAGGCCTCCCCCAAGCCC